GGAAACTCACGCCTAAGTTTATTGGCCCGTACCAAATAATGAAGAGGATTGGTCCAATAGCTTATCAAGTAGCTCTACCTCCTTTTCTTTCTAACATCCACAATGTTTTTCATGTGTCACAATTACGAAAATATATTTCGGACCCTTCTCATATACTTGAATCGGACATTATCCAAATTAGAGACAATCTTACTTATGAAACACCACCTATCCAAATCGTTGATCGAAGGATTAAGAAACTCCGTGGAAAAGAAATAGCTTTGGTTAAAGTTATTTGGAGTGGAGCAGGAGATGAAGATGATACTTGGGAGTTAGAGGAAAAGATGAGGGAATCTTATCCTCAATTGTTCCTTTCAGGTACGCAAATTTTGAGGATGAAATTTATTTAAGAGGGGGAGAGTTGTAACATCCTGATTCTCAATACCCCTGGTTTGTTAAATTTTGACAAAATCTTTGTCAAAATTTTAATAATTAAATTATTAGGAATTGGGTAAAGAAACTGTAGAGTTTGATGTTTGTTAGATTATTTGTGTTTTTCTAGAATTTTTCTGGAATTTTTAGAAAATACTTAAAATTGATCCGTTTCGCGGACAACTGGACGCCTAATAGTAATTATATGATTTAAGGTTGAAATTGAAAGAGTATGGACTTAACAATTTTAATTGTCACATTTAGAAATTATTGTTTTCTTGTATGCATTGAGTGTGGGTACATTAAAAGTTTATTATGTGTATAAGTTGACAAGAAATATATGATGGTTGACATGGTTTGGAGTGATGTTTGAGTCTTAGGGGTTGTGGGTTCAAATCCTGGTTGGAGAAAATGAAGGTAAAATTTTTTGTAATGTAATCCGCTGAGCGGATTATGTTTAAAATCTCTATTACATGCGGCCTGTAATCCGCTGGGCGCATTAAAAATGCACTGAGCGGATTATTAGGTGAGAAAATTGACTTTTAAAAGAAAGAGTGTCGTTCTGCGAGTTTTTCTCGTAGGTTTCTCTCTTTCTCTCGAAATTTTTTCTTACCTTCAAACTTGATTTTGAGGGAAAAATCTTGATTTTCTTTAGAAGCTCCAAGAGATAAGTTGGTTTATCTCAATCTCCTCTACATTTCTACCGTTTTATTTTTCAAAATGGTGCATTTTCTATTTTTATCCTCACTTGAATGAGTTTGAATGGGAGTAGGAAGAGTGTTATTGTAGGTTTTACACCTATGATAATAAAATAATGTTTAAAATTGAGGATTAGAAGTGGTTAAGCTAAAAACTTTAAGAGTCCTAATTCGTAGGTACTATTCATTGAATTTTTGGGACTTGTGTGAACAGAATTAGGAATTGGTATCTTCATGAAAGTTGTAGCTATTTAAGTTGTCGAAATTTAGAAACTGGTTTCACATTAAACGGATATTTCTAGCTCAAATTATGTTCATTTTACTATCAAGTGTTCTAGCTGTGACGTTAAGAGGCAGCCCTGTTTCAACAGCCTAGGTTTTTGAATTACTGAGATTGATACGTTTGAAATTAGGACTTGATTCCTTCATAAAAGTTGTAGGAAATTATATCCCCGAAATTTAGAAATTTATTTCATGTTAATATCTTATGTGTAGCAAGAGTTATAATCCAATTACCAAGACATGTTCAGAGTGTTATTGTAGTTGAGCCTAGTTGGAAACAACCACTGAAAACTGAAAACTGCATCTATTCTATAGGGTATTTGAATTTATTTCCTTCATCAATATTGTAGGTAATTAAGTTATTGAAATTTTGGCTCAAATCTCATGCCAAAACAGCTTATATAACTCTAGAAAAATTCGAAATACTGAACCTTGTCCATGGTTGTTATTAGGACTCTTTCTACTCTAAGTGCCTACAAAATAGGATAATTTTCTAAGTTAATTGTAAGCTGAATGTGAGCTTAAAATATTATTAGAAATGGATTAGCAATACAAAGTGAATTTACATTCTCATGAGATAGAATCATAGAAATATAAGATTCTAACTAGCATTTTATTATGTATATAGATTTTGCTGAAACACAACATCAAGCTTTGAAAGGAATAAGTGTGAACGTATCAGGTAAGTGGTGGACTATATAGTAAGGATTACATCATAAACTTGTTTGACCTTATTTGTTGAATTTGTCTAAATTTGTTATGATTGATAATTGTGATTTCATTATATGCTTGATTGTGAAAGTGATAATGAATTGCTTACGTGTATGATGGTGTAAAATCATGTTTGGTACTCTATTATGATATGTATTGTCTTTGAGTGAGCATTTATATGCATGGTGGTTTTTCATGAGAAAATTTATTGAAAATTAAATTGAAAGAATTGGATGATGGGTTGTGAACCCTTTTTGAACTGTATTGGAAATTTTCTGCTTGTAACAAGTGATTTGAAATTTTTGGGAAGTCCGTATTACAGGGGAAACTCTGTCAAAGTTTTTGGAAAAATGTGAATTTATAAGAAAAACCACTTAGGGACTCATACACTACTCATTTGAAAATGGTGATTTGTGAAATCTGGGGAATCAGAGATTATGGACTCTGAGAATACGATAGGGAGGCCCCGAGGGAGGACTTGAGGATAGGAAGGGTAGTGGTTGGAGGCCCCAAAAGACCCGGGCTCGCTACTCGTTGTCGGGGATCCCACTCGTACAAACTCTCTTGTACCCGATCGTGCTCTTACCGTATATCAATGGTCGATGAGCTACTCGGGTTTATATTTGAGCATGAGTCTCAACAATCCCGTGGGTGGATTTTCCATGCCTAGTAGTGTCAACTCCTGGCTACCCCAGTACTGATTTGAGAAATGATTCGGGCCCGCATGCATAAACATTTTAGAAAACATATTAGGATCATGCATCATTAACATCAATCATTTGGAATTTGATTGACTTGTGAATGTTTATGATGTTGATTTTAAAATGATGTATGAACTGTTGCTCACCCTCTTGTCTTTCTGTTTTCTTTATTTCCATTGTGCTTGCGGTACTCGTTGGACCTGATCGGTCATTGTTTGAAGAGATGGGAGATGACACAGATTCCACACCCGATGAATATGACACTCATACTCATTAGCTGGGAGCCACAATGATGACAACATGTATTGGGATAAACATATCTAAACTTTTATAGGCAGTCTTTTGTTGTACATAGACCTACATGGTACTGGATAGTAGTTACTCTTTTATGTAGTTAGTCGCTTCGTAGGAAGTATCCCCAATGTTGCCCTTAATATTTTGGAGGATCTGTACTAGTATTTTATCTATATGTAATTATGAATGTTTACTTTTAGTACTTTTTAAAATGATGAAATGCAGGAATGAATTATTGAAAATTTATATATTGATATTATGTACGAGAGAAAGATTATTATCGGTTAAAAAAAAATTCTACTAAAAATTATTAATTCTTCGATTGAGGGTTTATAAGGTAGGGTGTTACAAACTTTCTCTTCAAATTCACATCCTCAATTCTTTGTAAATAGTAAAACAATGAATCCAAACAAAGAAACGTAAAATCTCTATAGATAAAACATGTGAGGTTGAATAATATATAAGTGAAAAAAACTAACAAATTTGTCGTCTTAAACTTTTATATTGATCATGAAATCATATTCTCTTATATAATTATTTTACCTTTTTTAGTTAAACTCAATATCGGTGTTAACCCTCTTTGTAAATTCCTAATAGTGGTATCAAAACTTGATTAGAATGATAATAGTTAAATCAAATACAATATAGGAGTTTTCGCTTATGCAAAACGTGTCCCATTATTATAAATGGTGATATTAGTAAGAATCCACATTAAGATATGTATTCTTCAAAGAGGGTCATCACTGAAGTACTCATGGTTAAGAAATATTTATCTGAGAAAGTATTCCTACATATAGAAAATCACACTTGAAGAAAATGTTAGAATTCAAGTGTGAATAAAAGTTAAAATTAGAAAAAATGATTGAAACTGAATAACATATAAGGAAGAACGACTTCTAGATCTATTATCTTAATATTTTTTAGATGAAAAATAATCCATTATCAAACCCTAAAATGTAATTTTTAAATAGTATTTTAATCAAATAATGTTGTGGTTACTTTGTAAAAATAAAAATAAAAATTGAATGTGTGGTCGAGATGACATTTTTTATGCGGTTGAAAGGTAATATTTGTAATATTAATATTTAATGGATGGTAAAATCAGAAAATCAAATATGTATTAGTGGAAATATAGGTGCTATTGTACCATACGTGTCTTTATTTTTTATAATAATGAAAAAGATAATTATTATATGATCAATTTTTTTCTCATTTTTTAAAAATAATTTATTTCTCTTCCCTTTCCTCAAAATAATTCAGGTAACACATGATTATAATAATTTTAAGGGTAAAATTGTAAAAAAAAATGTATACTAAAAATATATTTATAGATTTGCTATTTTACAAATTTCCCTATAAAATTTGCTAAAAGACATTTCATATGAAGTTTTATAAAAATTCTATGATAAGTTCACAATAAAGAATCTAATAGCGAAAGTTGAGGACCAAGTTTACCCTTTTTCTTATTTATTTATCATAGACTAAACTAACTAGTGTTCTTATAATTTCAAAATTAATTTTGTTATATTGCTCAAATTTAAAGTAATTCATTAAAAGTTGCATGATTCAAAACTCTTTGATACCAATCTCTGAGTCATTCTTAGTTTCTGACTCTGCAATAATACTTATCACTCATATGATCTTGACTTGTGTAGTTAAATTTTGAATCGAATAAAGTGTTGTGGGAATCGCAGCAACAGTGTTGAAATGAAAACTAATCTATGAATAGAAGCCCCTTAATTCTCATGCCAAGGAAACTAAATACATAGTTTAATTTACAGTGAGATTGTTGGCATTTAACTAAAGGATTTATATGATTCTGAAACCTAGTTATCCATGCACAACAAATCTTGATTACATGTTATGTAAATTCTTTCACGTATCAATTTCATCAAATTAATCTTCAGTGCCTCCTTGCTTCTCTGTCAGCCTACAATTAAATTGAAATTACATGAATTATAAGGTATAGTTTGTAAATTCTGATCAAAAGAAAGATAAAAAGTTGAAGAGTAGTTTATAACATACTGCTTTCACCACTCTCTCAAAGGCTTCAGAACCATATGTATCTATATAACGTTCAACAGCTTTCCTTGCATCAAAACTCAACATTTGAAGAACTTGCTTTTGGTCCTCAGGATGCTTAGAATTTCCATAGAAGCTTCCTATATTCTTCACATATTGCCTCACATAGTTCTCATATATGTAAGCAGCTCCATTGAACGTTGGCAATACCAGCCAGAGGCAAAACACTAGCTTCATGTATGGCCAAAGTGGAAACCTAAACATGTATACACTAATTCTTTAGTCACACAGTAAAAATGTTAATTTCTGTCACAAATTGTTCTGATATCATGTTTAATTCAACTTATTTAAAAAATAACTATGTTTTTTTATTATGTTTCATGAAAGAAGTTTAGAAATATTAAGAGATTATTATAAACATACTTTGAGGAAAATGTGTTTTAGAATCCTCAAAATTTCGTTAACATTGATTTATTTTCTATATTCTAAAATAATAGTTTTAATCTTTTATGTGTAAAATGTGATGGATATTTTTTCCTACTTATATAACAAATGATAAAATCACTACTTTTGAAGTAAATGGTTAAAATCTATTTTGACCAAATCTTGAGAAGATGAAAATTCATTTTACCCAATATTTATGTTATAGTATTACTTACCATGCTAGGATCTTGTAGCATGAAAGCTCAAAGAGGGTGATGAAGGAGTATAAAATCCAATATGTTAGCCACTGTTGATCATCCAAGGTTGAAGGACTCTCAATTGCCCTCATTGATGCGTATCTATTACATTTACTCACAACACAACAAGGCATTTAGTTATCATAATCAATAGTAATTCATACATCAGATTGCGTGCATGGATCAGTTTGTGCATTCATTTGTGTGTGTTTTTCTTCTTGTTTCAATTAAGGACCAATTAGGAGGGTAAAATTACTCTGTGCCATGTACTTACAAAGGATAAAGGAGCAACACTCCAGGCCTGATATACAGAAAACAAAACAAAAAGATGTGTTATTTATGTGCTGATAAAAGAATGAAACTACATTATCTATATACACACAATTTTATGAGAGTATGGAAAGGAAAGTTTGTAAAGTATCAATTCAATGAAATATATAGACATGATGATTGTAGTTATCCACAGGAGTAGTAGACTAAAAATAATGTGTATGGAACATCAATGAAAAAGGCAAAAATATAAACAATGTTCATTGGGTTCCTGTCATCAAATTCTCAAATTAATTTTATGATAGAATAATGAATTAATTTTCTATTAAATAGCTTCCATTAAGAATATACGATGAAATTCAAAAAAATCAGATATCATCATTTGGTGTGAAAACTTAATGGTAGGAGCATAAAGAATGTGGTATAAATTGTCTTGATAAAATATAACCTGCATACATGATAAAGTGATAAAGAATCATTACCCCACTATTGTGTCCAAATGTCTTGCCATTGTTCCAAGGATGCCCATGATGAAGAAGCTGTTATTAAGATTTTTGTGGTGAGTAGATTGAAGTCCCCAAAGATATGATGAATCTAATTGGTGCGTAGAATTAGTTATGCTTGCATGTAGTTTCGAGGGTATATATATATAATGAAGTGGTAGGAGGGTAAACAAAGCAAGCAAAGAATGTTTGAGGGCGAACCCAAAAGCCTTCTTTTCCCTGATGAGAAGAAATAAACCATAAAGGCCAAGTATATGGAAAAGAAGGGAAGGATATGTATTAGGTTTGCATGTGATTTTGAACTTGTATGTAGTATATTCTAGTACCATACTATATTCCTTATATTCTCCTTTTCTCTTGCCTTTTCACATTAATTTGTAAGCATGTGTTCTTACATTTGAACCCTTTATAATACTTTTTTAAAAAATAAACACTTATGCAAATGAAAAAAATATAATCATAAATGGTTGATATACATATAAAAAACACATCAATTCCGTGTCTAATTCAGTTTTTGGTCAGAAACCAAATAAAGTTGTACTTATTTGAGTAGAAGTCTTCTACATCTCCCGTTTTACTTCTCATAAATTGACGAAGTACTAAAATAACGCATCACATCAAAAGATCCAAAACATAAAAATGGTAGATGTGATATTGGAATTCATAACAAAATTTAAGGATGACCCTTTTTTCCCATTTATGCAATGTACCCTGCCAAGGTAAGGATCTTGACATGCTTCTTTTGCCTCAGCTCATGAGGCACTGGTCCAAAAACTCTGGTTCCAATGGGTTGGCCTTGCTTGTCAACAAGAACCACAGCATTATCATCAAACTTGACCTCACTGCCATCACAACGCCCCTTTTGCATTGCTGCACGCACAACCACCCCATATACAACCTTTCCTTTCTTCACTTTTCCATTGGGATGTGCTTCCTTCACTGATGCTATTATTGTGTCACCTAATCTTGCCCCTTTCTTGCCTTTCAATGCCTGTATGCACATCACCTTTTTAGCCCCCGAGTTATCTACAACCTTGAGAACAGTCCTCATCTGGATGAAGGTGCGTTGCTGCTGGAAAGGTAAGAGAATTTTTGTTAGGGGTTTGTTTGAGAACATACATATCCTTGCAGTACAAGGAAAAGGTATTGTTTGCTACAGCCCACAATATAAGTTCATCAAACCGTGTTGTGCAAACATCAGTACAGTGTTGATGAAAATCTACAACTTACAACTGTCCAAACATAATCTGCATTTAGTTCATGCACTGACCTGAGTAAACAAATTGTTGCATGTCATCTCATGTGATGTGGTAAACAAACCAGGGGAACTGTTGCTTAATCCACCAAACAGAGAACGACCCACTATTTTCGGTTTTTTGATGCATCAAACAAAAACAAGTAGCAAGTTAGATGTTAGAAAATCATCTAGTCAACATAAAAGTTATCCACTTCCTGGTTCAATTATAAAAGAAAATGACAGGAGGGGTGAGAGTGAGCAATATGGAGATACATGAAATTTCAGGTTAGTTCTGAATGCAATAGCTGAACAAAAAGAATATTATAAGCATAGCATTTGGTCACTGCTACATGTTTCCAAACAACAAAGTCATTCTATTGTTATTCTTAAGTAGAATATCAGCACCGATTTTTCCCAAGTTTAGTAATTCATCTAGTGAATGTGTAAGTGAGTGGGTACTAATGAAATTAGCTTCGTTTCTGTTGATTTTAAAGGCTGTTTTAGGAAAGTCGATTTTCTTACCTGACAAAGTGAAATTGATTTTTGATTTTACAATTCTTAAGATTTAATTAGTTCAAATTACACAATGGATAATAGTATATCAGATTTAGGCCATGATTGGACAAGGTTCTCCATAAGCTCTTCTATGTGATAAAAATGAGAAGAAAAGAAAAATGAAATTAACTACTGCATAAGCTAAAATTAACTTATGTACAAGTTAAAAACAAAAATTTAGAGAAGTTATATAAGAGAACTTCTACGAGTTATCTTATTCATAAGCTAATTTTAGCTTATATAGAAACCAATTTCAATTTTTACTCTTATTTTTCTGTTGTAGAAGAAGCTTATGGAGAAGTTCATTCAAACGGATCCTTATAGTTGAAAGAGCTAGGCATGACATTTTCTCCTTGCTTTGGAAAAGGGGTAGCAAGAAGACAAAGTATGAGTGCAAGGTCACAACTGCACGCAATGTAAAACTATTTATAAGTAGTTCAGTTTCCCAGACAAAGCTTATTGACTTGACAGTAAAGTCAATGGGCTTCCCAGGCTGCTAAACCAAAAAAAGAAAAAGCTTCTGTAGGCAATCCTAAGAAGTATTTCAAGAATTACAAGGCCATATCGAGCATTATTCATAGCTCAGCCTCTATGAAAAATATTATAATATCAAACTTAAAGATGCTAGCAAATATATTCACCTAACATGACAAAGTAATGGATACCTATGATGCATAGGTAAGTTTATCTAGCTACATTTGGTAAATATTCAAGGACAGTATCCATTTGGTAAATGTGGGGATGTAGGTTATACACTTTGGTAGTTTTTCTAACAAATGTTCTATAAATCTACTTGGACAAACTTCTTCATAAAGATTTCAAGGAAGAAAAATAAGAAAAAAAAAATGAAATGATATTCTCCAGAAGTTAAATTAGCTTATGGCCAAGTTAAAAAGTAAAACTTATAAAAGTCATATGAGAGAGCTTCTATAAATTAGTTTATGTATAAATAATTTTAACTTTTGGAGCAACTCGTTTCATTTTTTCTTCATATTTTTCTCTCCTAGAAGTCTTACGGAGAAATTTATCCAAATATGCCCAATGTACATGATAGAACTGATATCATAGTTGATAACAGTGAGAAACAACTGGTTTTTAATGCATGAAACAATTACCATAAGTCTACTAAACTGTTAACCATTATTCATATTTAAACACAGCTGCAGGTCTGCTAACATAAACCCACACTCAATGGGCCTAATCACAAAATCCCTGTATTTTTTTTGGCCAATTAACCTAACTAATTACAAAGTCATGAGTGTCTATCAGTACATTTCAATAGAACTTAGTTATCAATTACCAGAGCACTGAATCAATGTGATCCCAGTACAAGCCAATTAATGTGAATCTCAATATTTTGCCACTGTGCATAATGTTTTGTTACTATGTACAAAACACAATCCAATTGAAACATGAGATTTCAGAGAAATCAAACACCAATCTAACACATGAGTGGAAAAATATTAAAAAAGAAAAATGGATCTGCGGAGGGCAGTGTCCTTTGGAATAAGCATCTGTCATTTGCACAAACATCAATTAACAAAGGAGACAACATTCAAGCTCATAATTGTACTTAAACCTCTAATTCTCCATTAAACTCGGAGTTCCAATGCATAATTACCAGGTTTGGGAAACAAAAAATTCAATCTCCAAAAAAAAAAAAACACAAATTGGGTTGTGAAAATAGCATACCACGGGCACATCTGGAAGCAAAGGTTGCAGCCATATTGGAAATTTGAAGTCTTCTTATTCCCTATCAAAATAAAGACACGAACTTTTCACTGAAAAATGAAAAACAAAGAAAACCCAGAATGGAAAAGTTTGTCTACATGCAAATACTAGACAGATTACGGGCCGAAATGCCTCGCCCGACCCTAAAACGAAGAGAGAGCAATGGCGGTCACACTCACACGGGTCAGTGCAGCACTGCAGCTTCCGACTCTTTTTCTCTCGCTGAAAGTTAAAACGCACCGTTTCTTTATATATGATGTGCTTTTATTATTTGAATTTTGAAGTCCATTTTTATATTTTTTTATATATAGATATTATAAACAATAATTTTATATTAATTCATCTTCAACTTTTATCTTATGCTTGCAAATAAATAGATGCCAAACTTTTATTTTATTTAAATTATTTTTTTAGATTTTAATTTTATTATTAAATTTGAGTTAAGTAGTTTACATTAAATTTCAATAATTCATTAACTTTTTTTCTAATTTTTCTATATATTAAAATATTATTAAATCAAGATTAAAAAAATAAAATTAAAAGGCCTATTTTATTTTTTAATCCTAAATTTTACTATGTTTTAATGTCCATGAACGTTATAAACTAAAGATAAGTATGTATTTTATTTTTATATTTTTAAAAATTTTATTCTTTATATTTTTAAATTGATTAATAATCTTATTATATTATTTTAAGTTTTCATATTTAAATTTAATATTTAATAATGATTTTTGGTTGTTATAAAATTCATAAAATGACTAATTTTATAAAGTATATAATTTTAATATTTGTTTATACTTAAAATTAATATTCAATAACAGTTTTTGTTATTAAAAGTCAATAAAATAATTAAATTCAATTTATTTTGAAAAACTTGAGGACTAATAAATTAATAAAGAGAGAAATTAAATTTTACAAAAAGGTAAAAAATGAAAAATATATTTAACTTTATGTTATATATAAACAAATTGTAAATTTTTATATTAAAAATAATTTTATCATATTCATGATATTTTAATTGATTACTGGAAAATCATATTCACATTTTATAGTTATTAAATTTGATACAAAATTTATTTCACCTGTACATAAAATGACTATATTAATTTATTTGAATCATATAATATTGGAAATTTGGATTATAAGTCTATAATAAGGATTTTTTTTTCATTGAAGTGAGCTCATATTAGAGAATTCTGAAGGCAATTTTGCAATAAATAAACTTAAAATTAAAGAAATTAAGTATATAAATTAATTAATAATAACAAATATATTTGTTAATGTTTGAGGAAGACTCAAAACTTTAAAATACACATTAGCGTATCAGAAACAATTTTTATTGAATTGTCTAATAATTAAATACATCTCATTTTATCGCCAATAAAATTAAATAACATACCTTTTATACTTGGAAGCTATTTAACTGTAACTACTGAGTCGAGAAATTAACCTTCGTAAAATTTTTAAAAATAATAAATAGTTAAAAGTCATAAAAAATGTAAGAAAAATTAAAAAATTGAAGTCTATTAAAATAAAAAAAAACTATTAACTCCACACATAACTTTTGGATACTAAGAAAATAATAAGTTGACATTTTTAAATTTATTTATTTATTTATTATTATTATAATGATATTTATTACTATTATTATTATATTATTATTATTATTATAATGAATTGTAGATTTGATTCGACGAATAAAATAAAGGTGTATAAAAATATAATCATCCAAACCAAAAAAACACAGAGATATTTAGATAAACTTGAAAAATACGAAGAAAAAAAGGACAAATTGAATGAAATTGTGCGTTTTAAATTTCACCAATAGCAGATGAATAGGACGCTGCTGCGTCTGTGTGACAACAACGTTGCTCTCTTCCTTCTTTTTTCCTTCTTCTTCCCCCTTTCACCTTCCTGTTAGGGTTTTCTTTCAAACCCTTTTTTCGTTCTCCGCACGCACCACATCGAATCCGACCCATTCTCCAACACGGTACGATGTTTCCTTCCTGTTTGTTACGACTCCATTCTCAAGGATTTTCGTATGTATATCCTTCATTTTCCTATTCGTAAACAATAGAATTGATTTATGTTTTGATGGTCGTAATAGAGAATTCTCTTTCATTTTGCGAGAATTTCTTAATGGGTGCTTCAAGCTTGTCTCAAAATCATGCCTTCGTTTATATACAATTTTTATTGTTTATTTACCTCTTGAAAATGTGGAAGTGTTGTTTTGGGTTTACCTTTTTTGTTAGCATTATGATTAATTTGTCGCCAGAGGTTGAGTTGAATGGTTGCATGTTGTTAGGCGCGCTTGATTTCATGAATGGAATGGGAGTTTGCTTGCTGGAAAATGGTGAAATTTTGGCGATGAATCGAGGGAAAGTGTTGAAGATTTCTTATTTGAGTTTTAAAACTTGTAACAAATGTTTTTTTTTTTATATTCTTTAGGTTATGTATATCTTATTTTATTTTTAAGAGTGTCCTGTCCACTGACTAAAAGTGTCTGTGACTAAATTTTAATGTTTCTGAGCATGGATCATGAATGATATGGGAAATGCAAAGCAAGCTAGTGTCTTACAACCAGCCTTTTTTTTGTTGCATTTGTTCCATCAATCTTGACCGAGTTATGAAATTTGGGACCTTGTGTAACTTTGTCTGATCTTCTTTACTTTCTAGTTTTTATTTTTGGATTTTATACAAGTTGATCCTTTTCAATTATATTTACCTTAGTGAATGAAGAATTCATCTAGTGAGAAGGGATCATTCTCCACCTAAAGTTACCTCTGCAGTTGAGAATTAATTAGATAGATGTTGGATTAATTGGGTTGAATGAAAGTTCATGGATGCATTTTGTTATGGATGTATAAGTAGTGGACTTCACTGTAATTAGAGGAATCAAATGTCATTAAAGAATAGCTGTTAGCCTCTATGAAATTGTGAAAAGAATAAAAAACCTGACTTTGTTTTCTTATTTTCAGCTTTTAAAATACAAATAATTGTTCTTGATGTGATCGTTTCGTTATATAGTTCCTGCTTTTTAAACATGGACACTGTCAGGTACTAAATAGTAGTACGCAAGATAGGGTTCCAGTGACGAGGTAAGACACATTATAATGCTTATGGCTAGAGTAAAAGTTTAAGCATCTATTCTTTTGTTTGTCACTTATTGACATGAGGATTACTCAGATTTTATCTAGAGCTCTGGTTCTTTGTAAAACTCTTAAACTAGTAGCATTGGAATGCTGGGAATCTTGTGTATGTTATTTAGTATATTTATAAAAAAATTTACAATTTATATTTAAAATCTCCTTGTAGTTTCATTATTATATAAACACACGTGCACCCACATCAAATAGCATACAGTACATTTTATCCTCTAAATGGAAATGTTTTGAATTAAATATAGTAGGAACTTTTTTTTTCAGGTTCATGCGATGGACATGTCTGATGCTGTCATTGTCAAGTCTAGTAGGTTAAAATCGGTGGTGTGGAATGATTTTGATAGGATTAAAAAAGGCGACACCTGTGTGGCTGTTTGTAGGCATTGCAAAAAGAAACTGAGTGGTTCAAGTACCAGTGGAACATCACATCTAAGGAACCATTTAATTCGGTGTCAGAGAAGGTCTAGCCATGGCATAGCACAATACATTTCAGCAAGAGAAAAGAGAAAGGAAGGAACTCTAGCAATTGCAAATTTCAATATAGATCAAGATACAAACAAAGATGATAATACCCTTAGTCTTGTCAATATTAAATTTGAGCAGACACAGTTGAAAGAGGACTCTGTCAACACTGGAACTAGTAACTTTGATCAAAGACGGAGTCGATTTGACCTTGCTCGTATGATTATTCTACATGGATATCCATTGGCTATGGTTGAGCATGTTGGTTTCAGAGCTTTTGTAAAAAATCTACAGCCATTGTTTGAGCTTGTGTCGTTGAATAGGGTTGAGGCTGATTGTATTGAGATTTATGAGAGAGAGAGGAAAAAGGTGAATGAGATGTTGGATAAGTTGCCTGGGAAAATCAGTCTTAGTGCTGATGTGTGGAATGCTGTGGGTGATGCAGAGTATTTGTGTTTGACATCAAATTACATCGATGAATCTTGGCAGTTAAGAAGGAGGATATTAAATTTTATAAGGATTGATCCTTCTCATACTGAAGATATGGTTTCAGAAGCTATCATGACTTGCCTAATGTATTGGGATATTGACCGCAAGCTGTTTTCCATGATACTGGATAGTTGCTCCACCTGTGATAACATTGCTATTAGAATTGGTGATAGACTACTGCAGAACAGGTTTCTGTATTGTAATGGTCAATTATTTGATATACGCTGTGCTGCAAATGTTATTAATGCCATGGTTCAGCATGCCCTGGGATCTGTAAATGAAATCGTCACTAAGATTCGCGAAACTATTGGTTACATTAAAAGTTCACAAATTATACTGGCAAAGTTTAATGAGATGGCTAAAGAAGTTGGGATCCTGAGTCAAAAGGGCTTATGTCTAGATAATGCATCACAATGGAATTCCACTTACTCAATGCTTGAAGTTGCCTTAGAATTCAAGGATGTTTTAATTCTCTTGCAAGAAAATGACACTTCCTACAAAGTCTGTTTATCTGACGTAGAGTGGGAGAGAATCACAGCGGTTACTAGCTACTTGAAGCTTTTTGTTGAAGTTATAAATGTTTTCACTAAGAGTAAGTATCCGACTGCAAATATATATTTCCCTGAGCTCTGTGATGTTAAGTTGCATTTGATTGAATGGTGCAAGAATTCAGACGAGTATATCAGTTCTTTGGCATCAAGATTGAGAAGCAAGTTTGATGAGTATTGGGAGAAATGTAGCTTGGGGTTGGCAGTTGCTGCAATGTTAGACCCTCGATTCAAGATGAAGTTGGTAGATTATTATTATCCACAGATTTATGGCAGCATGTCTGCAAGTCGAATTGAAGAGGTCTTTGATGGCGTGAAAGCTCTATACAATGAAC